GAAGCTCCTTTGTTAGAGACCCCAACTTCGCACATTCGAAGGTGGAGTCCACGTTACACAAGAGGCGCAGCCCCCGCAAGGTGTGATTTTGGAAGACGTCATCCCGCTTGGGGGTTACGGGGGATGGCGTCGACTTACTGAGGGCTAGCCTCGGCCTGAGAGGTGCTGTGGGTTATCCTTGGACCGAACGAAGCGCTGGGAGGCCTAACAGGGCAGAGGCGCGGAGCGTGTCCGCTTCCCACCGGGTCCTGCACCTGCACCTGCCGGGGCGGGAACGTTTAGTCTGAGAGCGAGGACAGACCCAGCACCGACCCCGCCGTGTGCGCAGGCCCCATGGCTTAGTTGGTTAAAGCGCCTGTCTTGTAAACAGGAGATCCTGGGTTCGAGTCCCAGTGGGGCCTCGGCTTTTCTCTTATTGATCCATTAACCCCTTCTGCTCCTTGTTCTGCACTGTATTCAGTATTTCTATAGATTCTGACACAACCACTCGTAAAGCACTTGTGACTGTGAAATTCTCACTCTCAAGGGAAAGTGATGTTCCTTTATGATCAAAGTGATAACAACTGTAAGAGAGGGAATCAATAGAAATGGGCCTCCGGTGACTCTCAGAGGCGAGAAACACAGAAATCGGCAACTCCCTACTTTGCTGAAGCTCCTCCGTGTCCTCGCTTTTTGGGGGGGAGGGACGTGGCAAGGGAGGGGGGGAGAGAATATAAATGTTCCCAACTCTTAAAACCTCTTTCCGAACTCCCACAGAATTTATTAGTGATTCTAGAAAACCCAGCATGGTATGTTTTACATGTGATTTTCCAAATACTACTAAATTATAAAATAGTAATTTATATTTTCTTATGTGTCTTCAGTCTTCAAGGGAGGCTTTTAGTCCCCAAGGAACTAAATAAATTGGCCCCACGGGAAACTGAACTTCAGTTCTGCAGTTTAAAACGCAGAACGATCCTACAATGCAGTGATTGCCAAGCTGGGTATGCACTGGAGTCACCTAGGGAACTTGTTAAAACAGTTTCTTGGGACTCATCCCCAGAGGTTTTAATTTGGTGAAGGACCCAGCTGTGTGTACTTTTAGCAATTACCTTTTCAAAACTCCAGCTTAAAATATTACAGACAGAGCTGAACCCAGAGGGAGGTGGCGGTATGCCCTTCGCATTTTCGTGCTGGTTCACGAACATCCACTTACCCTCCTATCATCAAGTTCGAATTGTGGGACGTCTACAATATTCCAGGTGTTTCCAGACCCACCCTCTCTTAACCCACCAATCCTGTCGAACACATGTAATAAATAGCTCTTTGTCAATGAGAAAACAGCCTCCATAATGTTCACAGACACATAGTTAAGGACAAAGTTCAATGTCAAACCCAAGTCTGTCTGTCTGTCTGATTCTAGAACCCATGCTTTTCTCATGATACATGTCTTCTATTTTATTAGAGTCAATAATGAAGTCTTTGGTCACAGAGCTGAACAAAGTTAAGTGACTTGGACTGATCTCAAACCTAGTCGAATGGGTTTGGGAACAGGAGATAACTCTGCTGTTTGTTTGTTTGAGAAAATTCTTGCCCAGTGAACGACTGCTCAACTCATGCTTGAATCATGGAAGAGGAAAATGTAAAAACAAAACCTCAGGAAATGATGTAAGAAGTTCTCCATGAGGAATGAGCAGGCCCTGTGAACAAACCGGGCCTGTCTCCTAGGATCTATCTTCTTTTGCCCTGGACAAGGTCTCCTCATCCCCTGCTTCTTTTGATTTAAACAGAGTGTATTAGTCAGCTGGGGCTGCTGTAACAAAATATCACAGACTGGGTGGTTTAAATAACAGAAGTTTATCTTCTCGTAGTTCTGGAGGCTAAAAGTCCAAGATCAAGGTGCCATCAGAGTGGTTTTCTGGTGAGGCCTCTCCTCCACCTTGTAGACATCAGCCTTCCTGCTGAATCCTCACATGGCTTTTCAAGGGAAGAGAGAGACAGTGAGACACTGTGATCGATCTGGTAGCTCTTTCCCTTCTTATCAGGACACCAGTCTTATTAAGGGCACCACCCTTATGACCTCAGTTCATCTTAATTAATTCCTTAAAGACCCTATCCCCAAATATAGGCACATTAGGGGTTAGGGCTTCAACATATGAGTTATGAATTGGAAGGGCGGGGGTGGGGGGACACAATTCAGCCCATAACAAGCAGGAGAGGGAGAATTGTGTGGCTGAGCTCTGAGTAACAACTTCGTCATGACGGCATCTAAGAGCTGCTAAAGTGCTACCTGCTGGAAAGGGAGCTTTGTGGATGTGAAGAAAGTGTTGAGAAAAAAAAAGTGTTGTCATATAGTTAGCAAGGATTTGGCCTTTAAAACACTTTTTAAATTGCTTTTTCTGTTCTGCCTGGTCCTGAGGAGTGACCTGGTCTGACACATTCTCCCATGTCATAATGGAGATAGCTGGAAATTGTCCCAGCCTTTGGAGGAAATAAAAGGAAGACTCAATTTGATTAACACCGTCCTGAAGCCAGCTGAGAAAGACATGAGCCTTGCCTCCAAGGAAACTCCAATATGGTTGAAAAGACCAAATAAACACATATCCTAAACACTTCAGACATAAGAAAACCAATGCTTACTCATGACATTTGCGAAGAATTCACTTGGTGTCTGAATTCTGGAAATGTGTGAGCCTTGGGTACGTTGGACAAATTACACCTTTTTAAGCTTCAAGTTCCTCAGCTATAAAATTAGGACATTAGGGGCGCCTGGGTGGCTCAGTTGGTTAAGTGTCCACCTTTGGCTCAGGTCATGATCTCTTGGTTTGTGAGTTCAAGCCCTGCGTTGGGCTCTGGGCTGACAGCTCAGAGCCTGAAGCCTGCTTCGGATTCTGTGTCTCCGTCTCTCTCTCTCTCTCTCTCTCTCTCTGTCCCTCCCCTGCTTGTACTCTGTCTCTGTCTCTCTCTCAAAAGAAAATAAACATTAAAAAATAAAATGAGAACATTCATAGTGCCCATCTCAAGGAGTTGTTAGCATTGTATGAGAACATTCGTCATTGCATTCATCATTAATGCAATACATGCTTTCTGCAAATTGTTGGGGTAAATCCTACTCCCCCTTGCTATTACGATGGGACTAATGAGTGGAGGCAGTGATGCCCTCTATAATCATAACCCAAACTGTAAATGAAAGATGGATGCTGTTTCTCCAGGGAGATTCACTTGCCAGGGATGTGCCCCACCCCGCCCCCAGGGGCCACTGGCATAATGGGTGAGAACTGGCTTTATATGCCTTTGAAGCAGACTTGGAACCCAGGCCTCAGGAAACACATTCACCGTACCTGCCGCATCAAGACCCTTAGTGGCTCTTACTGAAGCCGAATCGTGCTTACTTCCCTCTCCCAGGACTTTTGGGATCCAACCCTTTTGCAATCTTTCTCCTGACTAAAAGCTTCTATAGCTAAAGACACCTGCTTAATACAAGTTCAAGTGAGAAGAGGTATGTTCTGGTGATGTCTCTTTCTAGTCACACCAGCCAAGAGGGAAACGGGTATTGTTCAGTTTTATTTTGTTTTGAGACAGAAAGTGAAGGTTCCGAACTGTGAACAAGATCAAGCATGGTGAGGCGACCCCATGAGCGAAATGAATCCTCATTGTGCCAGGCCAATGGCTAGCGTGTCTCCACTTCAGTCCAGAATTATGTGCAAAAGATCCCATTGCCTAGGAGACAGGAAGAAAGAGAGCAGGTGTCACTAAAAATCAGTTCTCTAAAGGCCAATACTCTGAAGATAAATGTGGAGATCAGACGTTGTGAACAGTGACCAATAAGCCAAAGTATTGAGGATTTTTTGGTGGGGGAGGGGATGCTGTGGGATCTTGTTTTATTCTTTTCCTCTGCCGTTTCATATGCAGAAGTAGGAACTTCCTGGCAAATGTAGTTTATTATGTTCTCTGTTTTGTGTTTTTAATTTATTTTTGACAGAGAGAGAGAGAGAGAGAAAGACAGAGCATGAGTAATGGGGGCAGAGAGAGAGAGGGAGACAGAATCCGAAGCAGGCTCCAGGCTCTGAGCTGTCAGCCCAGAGCCTAACATGGAGCTTGAACCAACAAACAGCGAGATCATGACCTGAGACGAAGTTGCCCACTTAACCGACTGAGCCACCCTGGGTGCCCCTGTCCTCTGTTTTCAGAGACATGTTCCCTTACCACTGCCTCTGCCCTGATATCTGTCCTTGGTGGTGAAATAGCAGCAACAAAGCGTCCTAACCGTAGATTCAGGTGGTTGTGTGACACTTCGTGAATGGGAAGTTGGTCAAGTTGACACAGAAGTGACTTGAGAAGCAGAATTCATCCTCTGGACCCTGAGGACCCATTGTTACAGGCCAAGCTTTAACTTTACCTTTTTTTTAGGATGCCTTTTTTGGTTAAATCACATACTCCTATCAATGGCTTCTTTAATCATACAGAAGAGCCACAACCACTAATGTCCACTAACCTATCACACAATGCTTTGATTTAGGAAAGAGATAGATAGATAGATAGATAGATAGATATAGATACATAGATATAGATATAGATATAGATAGATATAGATATAGATGATATAGATATAGATTTGAAAGCACTTTCTCTACTGAAAGGGCTTTTCAAATGTTACTTTATAATGTTAATTATAATTATGATATTCATTAATGTTATGATTTATATTGAGCGTGTCCCCCACCTGTCTCGCATAAAAGTATATTTTTTCTCATGTCTTCAAAACTTCTGCTAACTTGGGGTTTTTAAATCAACCTTATCTTCCTTGTTCTTAGCAGGTGTCTCCCATCAAAATTCAATGAAGCACATGAATGAAAGTTTTCCAGAAGATTTAATTCTTATGGGTTTTACCAAATACCCTTGGTTGGATCTCCCTCTCTTCTTTGCCCTCCTGATTTCCAACAAAACGCAGCGGTTTCCGGCCGGCGGGAGCCACAGAGACGAGAACTCCTAGAGCGGTACGGCGCACTTCCGAGTTATAGGCCGGCCGGAAGTGGGGTTTCTGGGCTTCCGGGTGAGTGAGCCCAAGCTCACCGACTTAGCTCCGGACCCGCCGCGCAGAGGGTAAGACCCCGCATGCAGGAGACGGGTCTCCTGGTGACCCACGGGGGCCCGCCCCGGCGGCTCCCCTCCCCAGGGCTGTCCCGAGTGTCAGAGGGGAGCCCCGCATCCGGCGCTGTGCTGTTTGCAAAGCAGGCCTAGCCTGCTTGGGATTCCCTCTCCCCTTTCTCTGTCTCTCCCCAACTTGTGTGTGCTCTCTCTCTTTCTCAAGAAAAATAAATAAACTTGAATAAAATTTAATAAAGTTGAAGGGTTTAATTGGAGTAGAGTGAGCACAGGAAAGATTGGTAGGAAAAGGATTATAACCTTAATTTCGAAAATAGTCAGAAATTTCCATTAGAAAAAAAAATTCCATTACCAAGAATGTCAATTCCTCAAATCATCTACATCAATCATTGTTAGCCAAACTTCAAAAATCTTTTCTGCCCTCTTTTTCTCAAAGTGTTCTGGGCAGCCTTTAACGTAGATTAAATTGTAGATTTTCCTTTTTAACTGGTGGCAATTTTTCATCTTAGCACTTTCCTACGTTTTGTGAAGGGGAATCTCCTTGCAGCAGAGAGCCGTCTTCGCGGACCCCTCCCCTCGCCCCCAGCTGAGAGAAAATGCCTACAGATCTTATCCAAGATGGACAACAGGAAGGACCTGCGATGGTAAAGGTGGAGGAAGATCACTTTTACGTACGAGAAACTGACTTGCAGCTGAACAGCCAGTCCAGTCAGATCTTCCACCAGCGCTTCAGGCTCTTCCCTTACCAGGAGACCCCTGGACCCCGCGAGGTGCTGCGCCGGCTCCGCGAGCTGGGCCGCCAGTGGCTGAGCCCAGAAACGCACACCAGGGAGCAGATCCTGGAGCTGCTGGTGCTGGAGCAGTTCCTGACCATCCTGTCCGAGGAGCTCCAGGCCTGGATGCGGGGATAGCCCCTGGAGAGGGGGGAGCAGGCGGTGACTGTGCTGGAGGATCTGGAGCGGTTGCTGGACGAGCCCGGAGAGCAGGTGGGAAGAGAGGCATGTTCTGTGGTGACAAAGTGCAGCATTTACCGGTTAGGTCAGTAGGAGAGCCGTGAGGGCAGCCCTGAGCTTCTGTCCCTGTCCTGCATCATTGTTTCTGTCTGTTCCTTTTCCTGCCTCATCTCTCCTTCTAAGCCTGTTGAGTCCTTTCTCCCTGTCCTGGCTCCACGGGAAGTACTTCCCAAGGTTTTACATCTAGTTCTCAGGGCACTTTCTTCCCAAGCCCCATGGTCCCTAATTGTCCCCAGGGCACATTCCAAGCAGATGGACAGGAAGTGCTCTGGGAGGAGGTGACATCCCTGGGAGCCGGCCGCCAGTCACCATGTGATCAGCTCCAGCATGTGGAGACCCCCCCCAGCATGACCTTGGATCCCCATTCCCTAGAGAGAGGTGAGAAAGAGGAGGATCTGTCTGGAAAGGTGGATCAGGGTAGCTGGGCTCCTGCTTGGCCAATCACAGCCATTCTTTACAGTTTAATCAGGAGTAGTATCCAAGAAGACTGATGGCCGTGCATGATTTCACCCAAAATCCTCCCTGGCTCCTCTGCCTCTCTGTTTGCAAAGTATAACCGGTATTCTTGACCTTTTAAGCAAAAGATTTTTGTTTACGTATTTACTTACTTACTTTAACATACTCATCTTTGCTTTTCATTAAAAAAGCGTGGAATTATCACATCATTCAGTGGCTTCTTATATTATCTCTCCATTATGATCTTTACAGAGGCCTCCTCAGTGTCTTGCCCTATCCTGTCTTTTTAAGTTTTCTCTACCCATTAGGATAGAGCCACCTTTTAAACCTTTCACTTTGACTGCACTGCTCCTATCTTCTTCCACGTTAAATTCCCTCCTGTTTTCATGCCCATACCTTCCCCTGCATGTTACTCCAGTCTACTTTCAATCCTTTTTCCCTCCCACATTCTCTCCATGTCAGGAAGAACTTCATACACAGCATGTCCGATGTGCTTCCCACTAACAAAGTTTCCTGATCCCCTTTTTACGTCCTGATCCCCTTCACAATCTCCAGAAAATAGGAACAGAGTGACCAGAACAGCCAAGAAATCAGACCTTTTCCGGTATTTCCTTTGAGTTGAGGTAGAATCTTCATCTTAATGAGTTTGGTGGGACATTTATCTCCCTCGGGCCAAATTTCAGTAAAACTGTTTTTCCATATCTTAGTTAACATAAGGGAATTATCAGTTTACACTGAATCTTCAAGGAGTGCCCTATTTGGGGGAAGATTAAGAGGAAGTTTTCTTTCCAAGCAATAGAATGAATACACTTTTCCTTTTTTGCTATAATTGAATTTGATTGCAGTTTATTTATTTTTTAAAAAAAAATTTTTTTTTTTCAACATTTATTTATTTTTGGGACAGAGAGAGACAGAGCATGAACGGGCGAGGGGCAGAGAGAGAGGGAGACACAGAATCAGAAACAGGCTCCAGGCTCTGAGCCATCAGCCCAGAGCCCGACGCGGGGCTCGAACTCACGGACCGTGAGATTGTGACCTGGTTGAAGTCGGACGCTTAACCGACTGCGCCACCCAGGCGCCCCGAATTTGATTGCAGTTTAAAGTGCTCTTTATACACTTAGACTTTTTTCTTAAGTTTATGTATTTTGAGAGAGAGAGAGCAAGCACAAGCTGGGGAGGAACAGAGAGAAAATCCCAAGCAGTCTCTGTGCTGTTAGTGCAGAGCCTGACTCGGGGCTTGATCCCACAAACCACGAGATCATGAGTTGAAATGAAGAGGCTGATGCTTAACCAACAGAGCCACCCAGGCACCTCCTATAAACTTAGACTTTTAACAAACATTTTAATAATCTGTGCCCTTTGGTAAATATGGTTCTCTGTCCTACCTTGGTAAGTACCACTTTCACCTTTCCTCTCTAGTACTTTCCTTCCTTAACTGAGCTGAAGAGATATTTATTGATTGTTGGGGGAACATGACTACAAAAGAGAAAAATGGTCCCTTGGGGTGTAATAGTCCATCAGCTCAAACAGGTGACATTTCCATTTTGTTTACTTTTATAGATGTTTAAAATTTTCCATAACAAAAAGTTTGGAAAGAAAGTGAGATTGGAACGATCCATGTCCTAGTTGAGATAGTGAGACCAAGCCCAAGGCTGGGACATTGGCTGGGAGGCAGGAAGTGTCCAAAGGAATGGAATCACAGAAGATGATTCTCTGTGGAATCTGCAGAGGCAGGACCAGTTTCCAGGGGACCCATCTTGGAAACCTTCATGAATGCAAGGACAGGTCTGGCAGGAAATTCAGAGGACGGAGAGCCACACAGATGTGATCAGTGTGGGAAAAGCTTCATGCACAGCATCAGTCTTCTTGGATGTCAGAGAATCCATACGGGGGAAAAGCCCTTTCAATGTGAAGAGTGTGGGAGAGCCTTTAGTCAAAACAAAGCTTTTTAAGTGCCCCCTGATTCACATGGGTGAAAAACGATATTAGTGTGATCAGTGTGGGAAAAGTTTTAGTCAAGACTCAGTCCTTCTTAGATGTCAGAGAAATCACACCGGGGAGGAAGCTTAAGAGGAGCGAATGTGAGGGGCGCCTGGGTGGCGCAGTCGGTTAAGCGTCCGACTTCAGCCAGGTCACGATCTCGCGGTCCGCGAGTTCGAGCCCCGTGTCAGGCTCTGGGCTGATGGCTCGGAGCCTGGAGCCTGTTTCCGATTCTGTGTGTCTCCCTCTCTCTCTGACCCTCCCCCGTTCATGCTCTGTCTCTCTCTGTCCCAAAAATAAATAAAAACGTTGGAAAAAAAAAAAATTTAAAAAAAAAAAAAAAAAAAAAAAGAGGAGCGAATGTGGTAAAACCTTCAGTAACAGCACAGGACTCGCTCATTGGAGATGCCGTTCCTTAAACCAGCGCACTGACTGTGGGAGGGTTTTCAGTGAGTTCAAACCTCACCAAACATGAGCAAGTTCATATAGGAGAAAAACCCTAGGAATGTGATGAATGTGGGAAAGCCTTTAGTGGAAGTTCTGACCTGAACAGACATCACAGAATCCACTCTGGAGAGAAACCCTGTGAATGTGATGAATGTGGGAAGGCCTTCCGTTTGATCACGTGGCAATCCTATTAATTTTTTTTTGAGGAACCTCCATACTGTTTTCCACAGTGGTGGTACCAATTTACATGCCCACTGGTAGCGTACAGGATTCCTCTTTCTCCACATCCTCATCAACACTTGTTATTTCTTGATTTCTTGTCTTTTTTATTTTAGCCATTCTGACAGGTGTGAAGTGATACTGTGGTTTTGATTCGCATTTTCCTGATGATTTGTGATGTTGAGCATCTTTTCACGTGTCTGTTAGCCATCTCCATGTCTTCCATGGAAAAGTGTCTATTCAGGTCCTGTGCCCATGTTTTAATCGGATTATTTGGACCTTTTTGGTGCTGAGTTATAGAAATTCCTTATATATTTTGTATGTTAGCCCTTTATTGGATATATCATTTGCAAATATCTTCTCCCATTCGGTAGATTGCCTTGTTATTTTGTTGATGCTTTCCTTTGCTGTGCAAAAGCTGTTTATTTTGGTGTAGTCTAAATAGTTTAATTTTGCTTGTTTCCCTTGCCAGAGGAGACATATCCAGAAAAATGATTCTACGGTCAATGTCAAAGAAATGACTGCCTATGTTTTCTCCTAGGAGTTTTATGGTTTTAGGTCTCACATTTAGGTCTTTAATCTGTTAGTTTATTTTTGTGTATGGTGTAAGAAAGTGGTCCAGTTCCATTCTTTTGCATGTAGCTATTCAGTTTTCCAAGCACCATTCATTGAAGAGACTGTCTTTTACCCCATTGGATATTCTTAACTCCTTTGTCGAAGATTAATTGACCACATATGTGTGGGTTTTCCATTCTGTTCCATTGATCCGTGTGTCTGTTTTTGTGCCAGTACCACACTGTTCTGATTATGACAGCTTTATAGTATATCTTGAAATCTGGATTGTAATACCTCCAGCTTTGTTCTTTTTCAAGATTGCTTTGATTATTCAAGGTCTTGTGGTTCCATACAAATTTTAGTATTATTTGTTCTAGTTCTGTGAAAAATGTTTTTAGTATTTTGTTAGAGATTGCATTTAATCAGTAGATTGCATTGGGTAGTGTGCATGTTTTAACAATATTGGTTCTTGCAGTTAATGAGCATGGACTCTCTTTGTTTCTGTTATCTTTAACTTTTTCAATTATTCATAATATACTATGAATCCATTTTTAACAAGGATTTAATCATTGGGGTTATGATTGCATAAGAAATACCTAATGACCTGTCATACTAACAAAATATGAATGTTTAAGAACATACAGTCTGGGAGGCTATGTGAAAACAGGCATTCTCAGAGTGCAAAGTAATACAGCCCTTACAAAGACACCTCCCTTTCTCTCTCCTCACTTCTCATTTCTGTTTCTTCATTGATCATTTATCATTGCAGCATTGTTTGTTAAAATATTGGAAACAATCCAAATACCTATCCCTCAAAGACTAGTTGAAAAAGCCACACGATGGAGTACTATGCCACTGTAAAAAAAAAAAAAAAATATTTCAACGAACAAATTTAGAATAATTTCCAGGTTTTTTAATAAGTGATAAAGCAAGGTATAAAAGAGTGTATATAATATACTTTATGGAGGTAAAGAAGGCAGGTGCTTATTTTTGCAAGAGAAAGGAGAGGAGAGAAGGAAGGAAAGAGGAAGGAAGGACAGGATAAATTAAAACTAATGAAAATGGGGCATGAGTATATAGCTGACCCTTGAACAAGGCAGGGATTGGTGTTCTGACCCCTGTGCAGTCAAAAATCATGTGTAACTTTCCGGGCACCTGGGTGGCTCAGTCGCTTAAGCAGCCAGCTCTTGATTTCAGCTCACTGTTTGTGAGATGGAGCCCCACGTTGAATTCCGTGCCTGCTTGGGACTCTCTCTCTCTCTGCCCCTCCCCTGCTCCCTCTCTCTCTCAAAATAAATAAACTTTAAAAATTGTAT